GATTAATTTATCCAAGATTACATGGCTAATGGTGGAGCAAAGATCTGAACCCATCTTTTTCAGGCAATAAAGTATTTGCTCACAACTCTCAATACCTACACACAATGTCAATTGTGATAGTTTTTCCTGGCATCACATTCAAAGTATCCATGTAGCCAATTAGTTGTCTGGCAGTCAATAAACATTTAAGTATTATGTGAGATTCCAAGATCAATAAGACACAGTCCCACCTCTCCAGGCATTTGTGGTCTGGTAAGGAATATAGGTCAATAAACAAATTCATAGACCAATACTAGTAAGATAGTTATCAAAATAGTGAGGTGTATTAAGTGCTGTGAGAGTAGAAAATGCCCAAAATCTGCCTGGGGAAGTGAGGAAAATTGTCAGAAAATGGTTTTGATTTAAAAAGATACTGGAAGGACACAGAAGTTTGCAGGCAGAGAAGAGATGAACTGGGATCAAAGGCAGCTGGGTTCCAGCATGGGGAAGCTGATGTTACTATGCCTTCAGATTCCTCTGAAGTCCCACCCAAACCTCTGGAGTTTGTGCGCTTAACTGGAAGACCTGCTGGCTTGTCCTTATCAAGGAGAACAATATAATCTTAGAGATAAGTGATATCAGATTCTTCTGACTCAAGGCTCTATTAATGCTCTATTCCCCTTCCTCCTTAATACTCTTCCAGTGGTTCTCACTGGAACACCAGCAGCAGCATCACCTGGGAACTTGTTAGCCATGCAAAGTCCTAGAGTCTCCTCTCCAGATTTACTGAATTGAAAATTCAGCAGTCTGTTTTAATAAGCCCTCCAGGTGATTCTGATACATACCATGGTTTGATAACTACTGCCGTGCACTTATTCTCTTCTGTATGCTTCAGAACAGTAAAGCTAATTTCCACAAAGTGTCTGTTTTATTCACCCTTGCACGTCCAGCACTTAGGTCAGCACTGAACACATAGTAGGTATTTAATAGATGTTTGTGGAGAGAAAGAATGAATGGGTAATTAAAAATTAATTCCACAAGTGTATAGAAAGTTTCAGGTTCCAATATTCCTAGAAGAGCTAATGTAATTCCACGAAACTGTAAATGTCTGATAAGAATGGGAGGGGCCAAATGTGAGCGGTCTTGGAAGGGAAAGAGAATGAATATTTGTTGAGCACTAACTTTGTGCAAGGCACTATTTAGACTTTAGAGCAGCCGTGGGCAAACTACGGCCCACAGGCAGGATCCGCCTGTTTGAAATGAATAAAACTATTGAAAAAAAAGACCGTACCCTTTTATGTAATGATGTTTACTTTGAATGTATATTAGTTCACACAAACACTCCATCCATGCTTTTGTTCTGGCCCTCCAGTCCAGTTTAAGAACCCATTGTGGCCCTTGAGTCAAAAAGTTTGCCCAACCCTGCTTTAGAGTCTTCCTAATACAGTGGTTCTCAACCTTGGCTGCACATTAGAATCACCTGGGAATCTTTTTAAAATCCTGATTTCTGAGCCTCATCCTCCGGAAATTCTATTTCTTTGTTATGGGGTGGGGCCACAACATTAGTAACAAAGAAACAGAATTTCCGGAGGATGAGGCCCAGAAATCAGGATTTTAAAAAGATTCCCAGGTGATTCTAATGTGCAGCCAAGGTTGAGAATCACTGTCCTAATATCTTCACAACAACTCCAGGAGCTAGCTATTAGCATCCTCACCTGAAAGATTAAAACACAACCAAACCAGTATTACATGAAATGTTGAAGGGTATTCTTTAAGAAGAGGAAGAAGAAGAAGGAAAAAAAGATAAAAAAATATGAACAACTAATACATAGCTACCAACAATTGAATCTAAAAATCAAAATAAATAAACAAAAAATCTAATGGGGAAAAAATAAACTGGTGAGTAAAATAGAATCAGAGGCATAGAAACATGAAACAAACTGAGGGAAATCTCAGGGGGAAGGGGGTGGGGGGAGGAAAGGGGGAGAGAAGGTGGGAAGAGATTAACCAAAGATCTTGAGATCTTACCTATGGACACAGACAGTAGGGTGGTGAAGGCCTGGGGCAGGGTTGGAACTGGGTGGAGGCCAATGGGGAGGAAAGGGGGGACATCTGTAATACCCTCAACAATAAAGGTTCAACACACACACACACACACACACACACACACACACACACACACACGAACCCCACTGATGCTCAGAGTGGAAGTGGTCCCAGAGTCACACAGCTGGGGGCGGAGGGGGACAAACCAGGGCCCTCTGGCTTCTTACTCTTTTTCGTAAAGACCACTAACAGCCAGGGAGGAGATAAATGGAAGCAGAAAGCCCCGAGGGAAAGACAAACTCCTGTAACACAACTTTGCTTCTCTTCATCACCATCACCTCCATATATCTGGTCAGGACACTGAGCTGAGCAGAATCTTTACACTGTGCACAGTAGCTTCTTAGGCATTTTATACCATTGTTGGGCTCTTCTTTAGAACCCTCCCCCTTTTCCTCAGCCCTGACATCACACCATGTCCCATCTTCTCCAGTCTGAATGTCTCAGCTACGTGCATTGAGCCTGAATGGATTGGCCAATCCTGTCCATGTCTGGGCTAGGGGAGGTTTCCCATTCTGGGTCAAATTAAGCTGCAGGCGCCAACTCCTGATGTTGCCATTCATGAATTCCTTTAGGTTTTAGTTTGCAAGCACCGTCCACCTGGAACCCAAATATTTTGGTTCCCAGAAATTGCTTTTCTTTTCCTTCCTTCCCTGTCCTTGAAGGATTTCGTCCATTCTGAGAGCTTCAATAACATTTTGCATGGTTCTCCGACTGGCAGCTCTAGCCCCAGTCTGGCCTTGAGTTTCACTGCTGCATTTACCTACCTACTGGATGTTTCATGGGGCATCCTGCCTTCACTTTAAATGCAACATTTGAACTGAGCTCATCAATTTATTTTCTAACTTAATGTTCCTTCCCAAACTGTTACTGTTTCTTTCATTGGCACCCCATTCTACTTGTCATCAGGCTTTTAAGCCTATCCATTGAGTACTTCACTTTTTTACTTCCTTTGTAGTTTTTTTCTCCCCTCCCTCCCTCTTTTCCATTTTTCTTTCCTTCCTTTCTCTTCCTCTCTCTCTCCTCTTCCTGTTTCCACAAGAATTTATTGAGCACTTACTATGTGACAGCCCAGGCATTATCTTTGCCTCCCTAGATCCTGTATTTTAAAAAAGAGAGAATGCACACAAGGCAGCAAATAAACCAGTAAACTTGTGACAAGTACAGTGAAATAAACAGTGGTTATGTAGAGATTAATGAGGGGGGTGGCCAGGAGAGGTCTCTCTGAAGAGGCCACATTTAAGCTGAGACATGTGGGGAGCAGGAGTGGAGGAGGGTGGGGCTGAGGCCCTGTGGGGGCCTAAAAAACTGTAGAGAGGGGAGAGGACAGAAGTGGGCAGTGGGAGATCATGTGCAGCAAGGAGGACAAGTAAGGAGAATGACTTCATTCAAAGTGCTGTGGAAGCTTTCAAAGAGATTCATGTGAGGAGTGGCCAAATCTAAATTTCACTTAGAGCCGTGACTGGTTTGGCTCAGTGGATAGAGCGTCGGCCTGCGGACTCAAAGGTCCCAGGTTCGATTTCAGTCAAGGGCATGTACCTTGGTTGCGGGCACATACCCAGTAGGGAGTGTGCAGGAGGCAGCTGATCGATGTTTCTCTCTCATCGATGTTTCTAACTCTCTATCCCTCTCCCTTCCTCTCTGTAAAAAAATCAATAAAATATATTTTTTAAAAAATAAATAAATTCCACTTAGAGGAAAGATGAAGTGGACATTGTTCTTCCCAGCTGTTCTCTGGAGGAAGAATTGGAGAAGTGAGGAAAACTGTGAATTTTTCTTTATCTCTTAGCATCTTCCTGATTGAATGCCCTTCTAATTAGACTGCTACTTTCCCTTCTACCAAAAGGGAGAGTGTTAGCTTCTGTACCACTTAACAACTAGGTTTCAGAGAGAGAGGGTTTGGGACATTTGTGATGATCAACACCATCATCATCAACAACAGTAAAGCTTTATTGAGTATTACTATATACACTCATTATGAATACTTGCATGTTTATGTTTTAATGCTCAAAAGGGGGTATATGATTATCTTTATTTCACAGGTAAGAACAGAGAGGTTGATTAAGTTGCTCAAAGTCACACAGCTGCCAAAACAAAAAAGAACAGAGACCATTTCCAAATAAACATGGTCAGGCTTTGATTGTTTTTTCTTCTTAGTGTTTTTAATATTCATGGAAAATTTAAATTGTATGAAACTACACAAAGTAGAACGTTAAAGCTCCCCATAATACTGCCTCTAAGATGTGGTGTTGAACTTTCCCTATGGTTTTTCCCCCAGCAATACTTCATATTAGGACTACTGAAAAGTTCTCAGATACCCAGGTCCTATGAAGGGGCTAGTCCTCTGTGAAGCTGGTTTAAAAACAAAGGGATATGGAGCCACTTTCTTACCATCTCTGCTACAGAAAGTAGACGCCAAATTGTTCTGCCTCCAAAGGGAGCCACACCCATTTGGGTTAAAGAACTCTAGGGAGTCTATATCACTACTTGCAGGATAGGCCAAAAACAGCAGGAAGAGGACAATGAGAGGTTACCTACACCAACAACAGAACAAGAAAAATTTAGAAGCGAAATCTGGTTGTTCATTCCTACTAATTTCCATGTCTCATTAAGAGACATCATTTGGATTTCCTCTGTAGCAAAAACTAAAACTTCAGCAGGAAAACTAAAACAACAAAATGATATTCTGGTGTCGTTTTATAATTCTGAATAAAATTTGGAGGTGTTCAAATTTCTAAACCCTAGAGTACAAAGGCAGTTTTCCAAGCAGGGCTAGGCCATGCTCTCTGTTGAATAGGAAAACTAATTAGCATCCTGTATGAACTATCTTGTCTTTTTTTAGGACCGGAAATCAAATGGGAAGGGTTCCCTCCTGTTCCAAGTGAGTTCCAGAAGAATTACTCATGTTCCTTAACCTATGAGTCAGACAGGAGTCTAGGAGAATGTTTCCAAAACAGGCAGACAATTAAATAAACACAGCAATTGATAATGTGATAGTCTGGAGAGGCAGTGGCTGCGCTTGACCAAGGCAAGTGATCAGGTCTACAGCGAGAGGACCGTAAGCCTGAATTCCCTGCAGAATCCATGGATAACTGGAGTTCAGCAAACCAACTCGAAGCATTTCCTGAAAGTGAACGTCCATGAGGTTTGTTTTCTGAGCCTTTATTCAATTTCATTGATTTCGGGTAGGAATTATAGCATCTTTCCCCAAGTGAACCAAGGGCTGACTGCCATAACATTGCGCGGCCTGGCTCTCTGAAGCTTTGGCTGTCCGTGTGTTTTGACATCTCACAACACAGGATGTTAATCATTTCTGGACGGCGCTGGGTCTGCTCCCAGTGTCCATGTTAGCCACTGTTGATCTGCAGCCAGAAAAATAGCTTCTAAATGACAGAGGCTTTCCCGATTCAAAATATAAAGTAATCAAGAAAGCTCAGCCCAGGAAATAACACAGCACCAAGCTGGATTCTCTCCTGGGCACATAAAAGATAGTCTCTTCTTTGCTCCCTCTAAAAAGGAGTCTGAAGCCAGGTTTCAGCTCTGTCTGAGCCTGTGAAGGGCCTACAGGCATCTCCTGAGCAGGGGTGTCAGGATGAGGGCACTACCCCACCCTCCTGATTCTTCTCATCTCTAGGGAAAATGGCAAGGTGGGTGTGCAGGGTCCACTCTGCCGTGGAGGAGGAGTAAGGGCTGACTGGTGTTTTTCTCCATCCCCCATTAAGCTCTCTGGGTTACAGAGACCAGGCAGGGGTGAGGGTGGGGTCCTTCCTCCACACAGGAGGCAGAATGAACTTACTAAACGCTGTTCTGATCACCACCCTCCTCCTACAAACCTTAAAGGGAACCCTGCCCACACACACCTACTGGAGAAATTCCAAAGTTATCCTAAGCCATTCAAGGCCCTTCACTCCTTGACTGTCTGCCTAACTTTCAGCTTCATAGACCTGGGTATCTGAGAACTTATCAGCAATGCCAATATGAAGTATTGCTGAGGGCAAAACCATAGGGAAAGTTCAACACCACATCTTAGAGGCAGTATTACGGGGAGCTTTAACTTTCTACTTTGTGTAGTTTCATACAATGTAAATCTTCCATGGACATGAAAAACACTAAGGAGAAAAAATAATCAAAGCCTGACCATGTTTATTTGGAAATGGTCTCTGTTGTTCTTTTGTCTTAGCAGCTGTGTGACTTTGAGCAACTTAATCAACCTCTCTGTTCTTACCTGTGAAATAAAGATAATCATATACCCCTTTTGAGCATTAAAACACAAACATGTAAGTATTCATATTGAGTGTGTATAGTAACACTCAATAAAGCTCTACTGTTGTTGATGACTGTGTTGCTCATCACGAATGCCCCAAACTCTCCTTCTCTGTGTACTGTCAGCTCTGCTTTCTTTGTTTATGCTGCTCCTTCTACCTGGAATGCCGTTCGCCTACTCTCGACCTCCTCCCCAACCCTCCAACATCACCTCTTGCTGCAGGAGGGCTCCGATTCCCACCCCTCACTGAGCCCCTTGCTTCCTGACCTCTGTTCCCATCACACTATAGGCAGCTCTCTTCGAACAGTTATTACTTCTGTGGGATTGTTCCATGTGTCAGTCTTCCCTCTTGGACTGTGAGCTCTCTCTTTGCTCTATCTTTGGCTCTTAAAAAAAACTGACAATGCTTAATTGAATCGAGGAGAATTTTACACATCAGTTTTTATGCTCTTTGATATTCAGATAATAGCCCAAAGTTTAAAAGAAGCTGCACTTGAACAGGTTAGGCTCAATGCTCTCCTTCCTGTCAGCTTTTCACAATTTCAACCTGACTTTTAGTAAAATTTATGGTATTCGGTTTCAAAAAGCTAATGGTTTGAGGGTGCATGGATTTCTGTGTTTAAGTGTTCAAGATAGGAACAGATAGCATACCTATATTATACTCCAAATTTCTCTCTCTTACACACACACACACACACACACACACACACACACACACTGCCCTTGGAGATAGAAATTCCTAACAGTACATGAATGAGGCATAGGGTATAACATTTAGTATGTAATAAAATTTTAAATGCCGTGTCATTAAAAAAGCTGATTAGTTGGCAGGTGCTTACAGGAGGGCGGGGCAGGTCCTCAGGAGGGCTGGTGCCATAAAGGGACACCGGAGAAGGCAAATGCAGGGTGTTATTTTGGAAATAGTCACACCGATCTGTCCTAACCAAGCCTTTTTCCTCCTCCGTGTTTGTACATGCTGTTCCCTTTGCCTAGAAAGCTTTGCCCTTTATCCAACCCATTTATTAAGTGAGCCTTCATCTTTCAGGTTTCAGCTTAAACATAACTGCCTCAGAGGGGTCTTTCTAGGCCCAACTGCCTCATACTCTATTTCAGCACTGTTGGTATTTTCTTTAAGGCCCTTGCCAATTATTTTATTTTGTTATTTTATTATTTTTAAAAAAATTTATGTCTGACTCTGGACTGAAAGCAACTTGAAAGAAAGTAGATTCTTGTAAGTTGTTTTTTTGTTTTTTTTAATCGTATGCACAACACATAGTAGGTGCTCAGTAAATACTTTGGGCAACATTTCATTTGGAACTTAGGGGAGGTGATTTCATCAACTCAGTGCCTTTTCCTGCCTGGCCAGCAAGCTGGTCCCCTGCCCCCTGAACTTGCTTCCCAGGTGTGCACCTCTCTCATCCGGGGAATGCCTTTCATTACCTTCTCCACTTAACCACAGTCCTGTGGGAGGCAACTAATCGATATGTCTCTCTCACATCTCTCCCCCCCTCACACACCCCCTCCCACTCTCTAAAAAAAAAATCAATGGAAAGAATATCCTTGGGTGAGGATTAAAAATAATAATAATGATAATAATAAATTGAAAACTGGTAAAGTGCACATAACATGAAATTTACCACCTTAACCATTTTAAGTGTGTAGTTCAGTGGCATTAAGTACATTCACATTATTGCACAGCCATCAACACCACTCATCTTCAGAACTCTTTTTATCTTGCAAAACTAAAACTCCGTAAATAATATCCAAATATTATTAAATAACATCTTTCCATTTTCCTCTCCCCAGCCCCAGTATTTTCTTTCTGTCTCTATGCACTTGACTACTGTCATGGCTTTTAAAATAGTATGCATATAAACTTCTGTTTGCAACAGAGGTTAAACATATTTTACTGAATGTTTAGCTTGCTTTTTAACCTTACAATGTTTCTTGTCACATAGAAGGTACACATTTTTTAAAGCTTCACATTTTATGACAGTAAATATGACCATCATTTGCTTTATAGCTTTTGAGGTTTATGTTTTGTTTGAAGCACCACCTTACCCTAAAATAATCATGTATTTTCCTGATTTTTTCATGTAATCAAAGTACTCTAGTCATACCTGTATTTCAGCACTTCTCCTTTTATATTGTAATGAATACTAACAACTAGTGTTAAGAAAACCATGTTCCAGGCATTAAGTTCTCTTCATGTATTATCTCATTTAATCTTCATAGCAAGTCAATGAGGTGGGTTCTGTTATCCCTGTTTAATGATGAGACCATTGAGGCTTAGAGAATTTAAAAAACTTGTCATTCCACGTGGCAAGTGGTAAAGCTGTGATTTGAACTTGAGCGATCTGACTATACTCTCACCACAAAGTTATCTTCTCTGTTAAGTGGTACTCCCCAGGGTTGTGAATGTCGTCTTATCTGTATTTCAACTCTAGTGCATAGGTTCTCAACAATTATTTTTGGAGTGAATTAATTCTCATTATTTCAACTCAGCATTCTATGCACAGCCTCAGCTATTGCCATTTCTCTCCCTCCCTCCAAATCAGCTAGTCCTCTATGAATCCAGTCTTGACCTTCCTGATATGCACAAAGCGCTGCTTCCTTTGCACTGGGAATTAGCTCCTCTGGGTGGTCAGTGATCTCAAGTATTACTGCTGCTGTTTCCAGGAAATCTGACTGCTTGTCAAAACATCGCTCCCTTCACAGAGTTCCCTGCTAGAAAAACTCACACTGCACCTCTCTGTCCTCTTTCCTCTTTAAGAAATAATGATGCACCTTCCTCACTGGCTCAGGGACCATGCTTCTGTCATTGTCCTGCAGTGACCTTTCCTCTCTGGAGTCCACTCCATTCATTTAGCTCTTCCCAAAGCTATGACTTACTGATTTCTGGGTGGTCCCCCTCCTTCCTTAATTCTAGAGCCAGGCTCACAGTCATCTTCTCGCTAGCTTTTCTCATCTCCCTTAAACACTCCACCCGAGTACTGATGACCTTTCAAAGCTCTGGCCTCAAAACCTCTATTTTCACCATTAGATATTCTTCCCTTCCTAATGTTGTCTTACATCAGTCCAGTCCTGACCCCTGATTTGGTCACTGCAAAGATGTGCCTTTCTTGTCTGGCTCTCTTGTCTTTCTGCTACAGTCTCCCTGCCCTCAATTCTCACCCCCCACCCCCACCCCGTTGCTAATTTCTAGGCCTGGACAAACCCTTTCTATTGTCTCCGCTCCTCCCATTGCTGGGGAAGTTCAGGAAACCAGGCTGTTTGGATCTGTTACAAATTCATCTGGCTCCACTTCAGAAGGACCCTCCCTGCTGCTTGGCCGCCTTCTCACCGCCAACATGCTTCCTCCTCCACTTTGTAGCATCTCCTCTAAACCTTTCAATCTCTTAGAGCCGAACTCCACTTTTCAAAGATGCCTTTGCCTCCTCCTATCCTCTGGAGGACAGGGCATCTCACTTGAGCTCTCTCAACTTCCCTGCCCTCCACCACACCCCCTTCTTTCCCATCTCAGAGGGGTAAATCTCTTCCCCTTCATCCTTTGGGGTGTTTATGAAGTATAATGGAGAAAATGGGCTTGAAATCAGCTCAGGTATCGAGTGGTTTTGTGTCTTGGAACAAAAGTTACTCAGTATTTTAAGCCTTACTGTCTTCACCCATAAGTGGGGGTGAGAATAGTACCTGACTCGCCCTAGCTGGTTTGGCTCAGTGGATAGAGCGTTGGCCTGCGGACTTAAGGGTCTCAGGTTCTATTCTGGTCAAGGGCACATGCCAGGGTTGTGGGCTTGATCCCCAATAGGGGGCATGAAGGAGGCAGCCGATCAATGATTCTCTCTCATCATTGATGTTTCCATCTCTCTCTCCCTCTTCCTTCCTCTCTGAAATCAATAATATATATTGATTGATATACATATAATAGTACCTGCCTCAAAGGGATATGTAGATATGTAGAGAGGATTTCATGGCCCTCATGTGTGGCATGAGGCATCTGCCTAGAATTTCTGACTTTTCTCCCACCACCACACCTCCAACTTGTCCATTTGAGTCCCCAATCCCATTCCTTTTCCTTCAGGTGCTTTGCCCCATCCACTTACCTCCTACTTATTTATAAATATTTTTATCTTTCCCTTTGACTAAATGTTGTTTCTTGACTTCTAAAAATGTGAACTTCTCCTTTACCTCCCAAATCTTTCTTGTACTCTGTTAACAACTTCAGCCCCATCCTCCTCCCCCACCCCCTTTCTTAATTTTACTGCCAAATCCCTTGAAAGATCAGTCTCACTAGCTGATTCTCTTTCTTTCCCAACCACTCTCTCTTGCACCCTTTGCTGTCAGGCCTCACCACCTCTTCTCCCTCCCTCATCACCGTATTTAAATGGATTCCTGAAGCCACAATCATTCAGGCCCTTGGATACTTCAGTCGCCACATTCAGCTGCTGCACTGGACAGTGACAATGCCCCGCTTCTGCTGGGAAAATCCGCCCTGCCCTCAGGTCACTCTACGTTTTTTTTGGTTCTCTTACTTCTCTTCCTTCTCCTTCAGTTCATTCTTCTATCATGTTTTGTTGAGCATCTATTATATCCCACAGACATCAGCATTGACCCACTGGCCCCTGAAGTGTGTAGCCTAAGAGGACAGACAAATAGTCATACATTCTCTGTATCAGCTACCTGCTCTCTGTGTGTGTGTCTACATATTTACAGAGTGTTACAAAAGCATATAACAGGGAGGAAGAGTGGAGGAGAGGAAATGAAGCAAGGGCAATCGGGGAAGTAATATTGAAGCTGAGACCTGCTGGATGAGTAAGTGCTAACTGGGTGAAGAGCGGCGAGATCGGAGGAGTAGCTTCCAGGAAAAGGAAGGAGAACTGGGAAGATTCTGCAGTGAGAAGGAACTTGGCAAATTCAAAAATTGAAAGAAGGCCAGAGTAAGGGGAGTGCAGGAAACAAGGTGGTGGGGAGGTGAGATTGGGGCCATGAACAAAGGGCAGCTCGTACAGGGTCCTGTGGGGCCTGGGAGGGTTTGGGATTTACTCCCAAGAGCAGTGGGCAGCTATGGAAAACCTCTCTTCAGCTGCCCACCCGTTTCCTCCTTTCGGATGTGCCTCAGAGACAGGTATTTGGTGCTCTGCCCTCTCTTGGCCATTCAGATGCATGGCTGAGTGATCACCTCTCTGTGGTTAATTTTTGAACCCCACTGCCTCCTGAATTCAGTCCTTTTCTCAGCTACTGACTAGGATTACCTACTGGGGTTTCTTGCTGGTACTGCAGATGTAAATGTTGGAAACTGACCTCATCTTCTTTTTCAAAACTCTCCTTTCCCCCATATTTCCAATTTTGGTCGATGACAACTCCACTGGCCTCAAATTTTCCCAAGCTGGAAATGCTGGTGTTTCCTTGACTTGCCCTCATTATTCATTTATTTATTCTGAGGATAAAGCAGGAACCAAAAATGATGGAACTTGCATTCTAGTAGTGCTGGCCAACAGTGAACACACCAATCCTATATAATAAAAGTGTAGTATGCAAATTGTCCCCTCCACCAGGAATTCTTCTAGGAGTTTGACCAGGGGGCAGGGCCAGCTGGGTGAAGGAAGGGAGTATCCAATGGCTACCGCCAGCCACTAGGGACCCTACCAGTGCACGAGTTTTGTGGACTGCGCCTCTAGTGTATGTTATAAGATCAGTGAGTAAATAGTGCTGTAAATAAAAATAAAGCAGATAGAAAATGACAGGGTGGGAATGCTGCTTATTTCATCAGAGAAGGTCTCTTTGAAGAGATAGATTTGAGCAGAAGCCAGAATAATGTGAAGGGCCCAGCCATGTGGATATTTGGTATTTGGACAATGACTGCAGCAGGCAAAGGGAACAGCAAATGCCAGGGCCCCGAGGAGCAGCATGCTTGAGGAGCAGCAAAGAGGTTAGTGGCTGGATTGCTTCCAGTGGTAGGTGGAAAGTGAATAGAGGAGGCCAGAGAAGCGGCACTTGCTGTAAGGTATGGAGAGGGGATTAAAATTTAATTCTAAGTGAGATAAGAAACCTTTGGAGGGTTTTGCTCAGAAAAGTGACATGACCTTATATACAAAGACCACAGGGCCCCTCTGGCTGCTGTGTGAGGAACAGACTGCAGGGACAAAGTAAAGACCACCCAGAAATCCATGTCTTCTCCACAGGCACAGGGTCTCGCCCACATTCATGCCCCTCTCCCATGCTCACAGCTACCCCCTAAATTAACTCCATCTATATCATATCCGAATTATTATTGTGGTCGCATACATTATATTCCTGAATCTTTCTGGATTTAGCTTCCAGTTGCACAAATTTGAGCCAGCCATTGCCTTCTTCAAGCCTTCAGTTGCTCCCCACACCAACTTCTTCAGTCTTATATTTGAGGCCTCCCCTGGCTTCCAACCTATCTCCTACTGCTGCCTTTCACATTCCTCAAGCGAAAGTCACACTGTACTGCTCAGTTCCCCCTATAACCTTCTTGACTCTCCACATCCAAGCTTCTGCCAAACCTGCTCCATCTCCCAATAAAGCATTCTCTCGCCATCCCCTATCTCTGTGAGACCCAGATTTCCTGAACGTTTCCTGATTACCCCAGGCAAAAGTGATTCTTCTAGCCTTTGGACTCTTACATTGTTCTAATGACACTACTCACTTTAACATGGTTATAACTCTTTATTGTACACACATTATCTTCTTTATTAAATGATAAATTCTTAGAGGTCAAGGTCCAAACAATATATCTGTGCGCTTTCCATCCACACTGCCTAGCCCTAGCCCAATGTGCATGGTGACGACACTACAGATATTTGTCAAATGAATGAATCGCTGGCTCCAGAATATTTAGGCAGTCTGTTTAGAGAGACACAACCAGGTCCTAAATCCATGCAAGTGAACAACATAAGACAGCATATAATGCAGGGATGCATGGAAAACACAGTCTGTGGACTGCAGGAATCAGAAGGGAGACCTGTAGGAGGTGGACTGGTCAGGAAAGAGCTGAAAACAGCTGGTGTTTCTGAAGTGCTTACCACAGGCTGGCCTCTAGGCTGAATGCTTTACATGCATCATCTCATTCTTTTCAACTACTTTATGCTACAGGCACTCTGTATGATACTCGCTACGATGAGGAAACTGAAGTAGCATGGTGAAGTAATTTCCTTGAAGTCATGGTGTTATGAAATCTACAGAGGTGGGATTTGAACCCATGTCTCTCTGGTGAGCCTCTACTGACCACTCCAATATTCTGCCTTTGAGAACAAATAAAAGGCTCTGCTGTGAAAACAGGGTTTGTATTTTATTTTCTGTCTCATTCCAAAACGTATTTGAAGCAACTAAATACGAGTTGAGTTACGTCTGAGAAGATATATAGAATTTGAAGATGAGATAGGTGGTCCGGGTTAGGGAAGCAGGTGTTTGTGGGCTATAAGGCAGATTTGTTTCTAGGCAGTGAGCTGCCTAAATTGGAGAACATATCTGGAGACTGGATGGGTGGGCAAATGCAAACAGTGTGTGGAAGGTGTTGCATGCCAAGAAGAATTGTTGAGTGTCGATGTGCTAGGACCCAAGAAGATGTTAAAGATTTGATTAAAAGGCCAGGACATGACTCCATTCAAAGAACATTCACTGGGACAGATTTCACACTAAGCAGGCAAAAGAAACTGTAGGATTTCCTGAGGAAGCCCTTGTTCTCAAAGAGCTGACAATCTTTTGGGAGAAACAGCCTATAGGATACAAACAAAGCACAGAAATCAGAGCTGGGACAGGAGCGTGTTAATGAAGGATTTGGGAGAACTTCCTAAGGCTGTGGAGATGCGTGGGTATGGAGTCTGGAAGACAGTGGCCACTTCTGGGCTTTGAGGAGGTGGTTTTTAGAGAGGTTTGTCAAGTACACGCTGGGCCACTGAGCAGCCTCTAACATATTTCAGGGGGAGAGATGCACTTAAAGCCAAAACCCACCTGCACAGGCAGCAGTAGCAGCCATGAAAAAGACTTAGGAGGACTTAGCAGCCAGCAAATTCTGTGTAAGAAGGAGCTGCTTAACCATCATAGGAGCTAAAGTAATCTGCAGCCACCTTAAAAGATGGTCAGTGTTGCACATCCAGCTCTCAGATGATCTCCCAATAATTTTGTCATTTTGGGGGGGCCACACTCTAGACCAAGCATGTCAAACTCGCGGCCCACAATGGAATATTTTTGCGGCCCAACCAATATAACGGTATGTAAGTAACGTTTTAATAAAAATTTCATAACTTAATTTTTACAATATCCTGTTATACATAATTATTAATAATGAACTACAACGTTCGCTAATGACTGATTGCTATAATCGTGTTGCGTTCATTTCCCTTACACACCTTACGCGCAGACACGCCATTTCTCTCCACTAACACTAGCAGCAAATATTTTAGCAGCCGATTGCCACATCATTAGTCTTGTACTGACTTGTTTGATGTGCGCAACAGGAAATATTTCACTTTCAGAGAACAAGAGAAAAGTTTATTTGTGTTATGCTTATTAATTGGTGCAGTTATTAAGTGTCTGGTAAGTTAATGTTCAAGAAAAAATATTAATTTTTATTTAAATGTTCTATTATTTTATGTTAACGATTACTCATTTCAGTCCTTTGTATTCAGCATGTCTCTATTGAAATAAATCCACGTTTCTACAAAAATTGAAGCTTTTGTTTTTTTTCGGCCCACATAAACTTAAACCTTGTTTATTTGGCTCGTGTTAGCCTTTGAGCTTGACATACTTGCTCTAGTCTCTCTAGACTAAGCAGTTCACAACTAGAGGTGATTTTGACCTTCAAGGGACATTTGGCAGTGTCTGGAGATATTGTTGGTTGTCACATTGGGAGGGGATGCTACTGACCTCTAGTGGGTAGAATCCAAGGATTCTGCTAGACATCCTACACTATACAGCACAGCCACCCCGTCCCCTTGCGCCCCCCCCGCCCCCCCCCCCCCCCGACCCCAACCAAAAATTATCCAGACAGATGTCATCAGTGCCAAGCTTGAGAAAGCTTGCTCTGGAGGATGAAGAGTCCAGAGCATGCAGTGAAGGGAACCATCTTTACCAGAGTGTCTGTCATAGGAGCAGCTGAAGAAACAGAGTGTTTACCCTGCAGGAGATTTAGGGACCTGAGAAATATCTTAGGAGAGCAGGAAGAACTGAACTGTCCAGAACAACTGCCCACATTTCCACTATCACTCACCCTGACTATTGCAATAGAAGTCCAGCCAGACTCAATGTTTGGAAGAATAAGAAAGTCATTAGAGCCCCAGCCAGGTAGCTCAGTTGGTTATAGCATTGTCCCCGAGATGCCAAGGTTGTGGGTTTGATCCCTGGTCAGGGGAATCAACCAATGAATGCACGAATAAGTGGAACAACAAATCTCTCTCTCTCGCCCCCCTTACTCCATAAATAAATAAATAAATAAATAAATAAATAAATAAGCCATTATAATAGCAAACACTTATACACCATTTACTGTCTTTCTGGCACTATCCTAAGAGCTGTACATTTATTTAATTGTCACAACAAACCCACCTCAGACATTTTTTAAATGGGGAGACTAAGACACAGAGAAGAGGATAAATATATTTCCTAAGATCGCAAATCTTAGTGAGCTCTAGAGTCAGAATTTGAACTCAGACAGCTGGACTCTTTTTTAAAAATATATTTTTATTGATTTCAGAGAGGAAGGAAGAGGGAGAGAGAGAGAGACATTACTGATGAGAGGGAATCATTGATTGGCTGCCTCCTGCATGTCCCCTACTGGGATCGAGCCCACAACCCAGGCATGTGTCCTTGACCAGAATTGAATCTGGGACCCTTCAGTCCACAAGCTGACGCTCTATCCACTGAGCCAAACGGGCTAGGGCAAGACAGCTGTACTCTTAATCACTTTGCAGTATTGCTAGGCTGCATTTGAAAGAGATAGGTCTGGGCTCAAATCCCAGCTTTACAACTGATTAGCTGTGTAACTCTGGGCATGCTACTTAATCTTCCTGAGCCTCAGTTTCTTCATCCAGCATAATATGGATACTAAGATGCCAAACACCTCTGTGATCAATGTAGTTCTCACAACTCAAGAAGGTCTCTAGTTATTACCCTCATTTTACATACATGAAGATTATTACGTCGCTTCGAGAAGTTGAATGACTTGCCTTGAGACACATAGCTAGGAAGCGAAGAGTCAGGATTTAAACCACATCTGTCTGACTGCAGAACTTGTTTTTAACCACAAAGCCATTCATTTGCAACCTAGTGGTGAGAGTGGCATGACAAAGCATATGAAAATTGCCTGGAACATAATAAGCAATTAACAACAGCAGTTTATTATTATATTAGTAATTATAGTTATCATCTTCATGGCCAGATCAATCAGGTATGCAGATGGCAACAGAATATTCTAGCCAAAAGAACATGACCAGCAAAAAATGAATGATGCAGTTTGTGTGTGTGGATCACACCCCTCAGCCAGCTATAGCATAATCCTGTGCTTCAGTCTCCCTGGTAAGGAGGTATCATGTTTGAATCATATGTACTGCTCTCTGCATAGTCTACTATTCATAGTCTAGGAGTGGGAGGAGCAGGGACAGTGTGAGGCTAATTTAATGTCAAGGTTCCATAGTCCATACATTTCATAGGTGACACTTAGTCATAATTTTTTTAAAAAAGATGAATGTAATGCCTCGTGCAACACTCTAATGTTGCATTGTGAATAGAACCACAGCTCACTTGATGGTTAATTCCACCCGGGAAGGATTTCATTTTTAAATAATTGCCTGATTTCATTGTAGGGAACGCTGTGTGAGTGTTTTCCACAAAGAGGGGGTGGCATCTGCTAGCTGGAGGGCTGGCAGCTCACAGAATCTGCCTGCAGCGGATTCTTAAACATGGAATCATGACCAAAGGGATAGCAGACAGGAAGAGACTGGGGAGTTGCTTGGAGTTTTGGAAGGAGGTACAAAGGGAAATGGGTACCCCGGACAGGGGGCCACCAACTGCCTACTTGTGGAAGAGTGATTAGAGAAACTGTCACATGGAGAGGGTATTTGAGCTAGATCTTGAAAGATGAATAGGAGTTTGTGGGCTGGAGAAAGAGGGAGGTATAGAAACAAAAGAGAAAAAAACTGCAAGAGTTCTGTGTCCTGGGAGAACATGGCTGATTGGGGCAGGAATTCAGAGACAGAGGGTGATGAGTAAGGGTGATGAGGCCAGAAATTTGGGCTGGAGTCAGTTCATAAAGGGCCAGTAGGTCTACAGAGGCTTCTGGGCAATGTGCTATAATGGAAATTATTTCTGGCAGTGCAGTGTAAGGAGAAATGACCCAGGGGTTTGGAGTGAGTCAAATCTGCTTTTGAATCTCAGTACCGTTACTTACTGGCTAGATGGCCGAGGACAAGTTACTTTACCCCTCCGATTCCCAGCATCCAGATTTATACAATGAGGACAATGCCGACCTCTCAGGGATGTTGTTAGGATGAAACAAGGGGAAGTATAAATTCCTAGCACAGTCGTAGCCTGTTGTAGGCTCTCAGTGAATGTTATTCCCCCCTTTATCGCATAGGTGAGGAGGCATGGTTTCCAGCAGGGCAGAGTTTCAACCAGATTTCTATTTTAGGATGCTAACTCCAATGGATTGTTCTGAAGGGAGACTGGAGGCGGAGAGAAGACTCTGAGGATGGCTTGCTTTGCTAGTCTCAATCTATAAATGTTGAGTTTTAATAACTTCAGTTTCAGGGGTTAACATTCTCATTATCAGGTACCAGTTTTGAGGTAGTACCTGTGATTTTAACATCTGTACCTCTCTCATTGAAAACTGAGTAATGAACTGGCTTAGCTGCCTCAGTTTCCCCAGTGTGAAGAGACCAGTTTGAAGGGAAACAATTTACCCAAGTTCAAGTTTATTTGGCCACATAACAAACTGTCTAACTCCTGTTCTTCATTTGATTTATTTATTCATTCATCTAGCAAACATTTATTGAATAGCAATCCATAAGTGGGTTGCGTGGGTGTTAGGGATACAGTTGTCCCCTCTCCCATCTGTGTGGTTTTATATGATCAGAACTTGAAGAAACAGTGATGCCCTCCACTCCCAGTGCCCACACACTGCTGAAGCTTCTTCCCACTGGTCAGTTTGATGCATTCCTGGCCTTTGTAGAAGGTCATTAGCTGGACAGAGAAACACAGCCCAGCAAAGACAGTCCTGTTGGAAAATTACTGCACTGTGCCTCACTTTGTCAAGCTCTACTTTCTAAAATCTCAGCAAAGAA